CCGCTACTCACGCTCAGGCCACCCTCTCATTAGACCCATTCAGGCTCGTCTGGCTTACCCACCAAAGCATGCACCAACGATAAAACAGGGGAGGAATAAAAATAAGCATCAAGTAGGAAGGATTAAAGGGCCCCCGGTCACCTGCACCAGCAGGGGCGAGGCTGGGTGCCTAGTCCCCGCGAACTCCCTGCCTTGTAGACACAATTCCAGCTCTCTACCCTGGTAGCAGGCCCTACAGGGTTAGGAGTGGTGTTGACAGGGAGATGCCTTCTGCTAGAGCTCTTCTAGCCTTCACCACCTGCTGGGGGTACTGAGGGCTCCACCCCCACGATGTCACTCCCTAGCTCAAGGCCTTGGTCCTGCTCAACTGCCTCTGTGCCCACCCTTAGGCACAGACCCCTTGCAGGTGAACTGGTACCTGATTTTTCCACATTAAAGCTGTGGTCCTGAGTGAGTAACTCAGCTTGGCTGTGCCTTGGTTTCCTCCTCTGCACAATGGGGCCCTTAGAAAGAACCATGATGTTTTCGGGAGAACTATCTGGGGCCCCATCGGCTGGAGGCTGCCAAGCCCCGACTTCCCAGTTTATTCCCCTTCTTTGCGCTTCCCAGGCTGCTGCCCTGCTGTGGTCTGTGGTCTCAAGGCATCTGCTTTCGCTGTCCGTTTTATAAAAGAGCATCCCAGGGAGAGAGGACGAATCGTAGATTATTTGACAACAGGCAGCGCTGCCCAAACGCTAAGTCCGGTTGAATAAGAGAGACGCCAAGTCATTCCGATTCAAACAAGTTGAGCTCGTGAAATCAGACAGATGCCACCTGCGCTGTTCAGAGCCCTCACGGGTGATGCTCCCGGGAACGTTTATCGGGTGAAAATCCTCCAGAAAGGGATGTGCTTTGTTCTGCGGTCGGACATTGGAAACTTCCTTTTGGGGAGCTTGACTGCTGTAGGTAGGGATCGTACGCGACCCGAGCGTTTGCTGGGTCTCTGCTCCACACCGAGCCGGGCTCTCCAGCCCATTGTCGAATCCTGGGAGTCCCTCTGAGCTAGTCGAGATTATCCAGCCGTTATAGGAGCTGACCTGAGTTCAGAGAGGTCAGGTAACTTGCTCAAGGTCACACAGCTGCCCGTTGGAGTCAGGATTCGAAGCCCGGACCTCTGACTCTGGGGCCCTCCATCTTCCCAATCTCTGCATAATGCGCAGAGTCACCGGCTTGGGACTTGAGAGGTCAAGGGCGTCTCTGGCTGTTCTCCGTCTCCGCTGAAAGTAGCAGCAGGGGACGCTTGGGCTTCAGCAGGCAGAGCCGTTAGAGACGTTTCTGACAGCAGGGGCCCAGGAGAACCTGGACTCTCCTTTTTTTTTTTTTTTTTTTTTGTTAGCTTTTTGTTTTTTTTTTTCCAAAGGATTTTATTTATTTACTTGAGAGAGAGAAAGAGAGAACACGAGGGAGAGGGAGAAGCAGACCCCCGCTGAGCAGGGAGCCCGGCATGGGGCTCCATCCCAGGACCCCAAGATGATGGCCTGAGCCAAAGGCAGATGGTTCACTGACTGAGCCACCCAGGCCCCCCTCAGACTCTCTTTTTGTGATGGACTAAAAACCATTTTCCCTCAGTTTTGCAGACCGTGATGCATTTGTTTCCTTGGGCTGCCATAAAAAATGACTGCAAACCGGATGGTTTAAAACAATAAAAATGATTTTCTCTCTCGGTTCTGGGGGCTGAAGTCTGAAATCCAGGTATCAGCAAGGCCTCATTCCTTCCTAAACCTCAGGGGAAGATCCTTCCCTCCCTCTCTCGGTTCCTGGTGGCCCAGGCTTCCCCTGGCTCGTGCTGTCTTCACATGGCCTTCTCCTAAGGACACCGAGGCCCAACCTGATTCAGCATGACCTCATCTCAACTAATTACATTTGCAAAGACCCTATTTCCAAATAAGGTCATATTTTTTGTGGTTCTGGGTAGATGTGAATCTACCACAGGGAGGGGGGACGTCACTCAGCCCCACACGGGTATGGAGCTCTGGGCACACGTCCCATGCTGGGCAGTAGTGCCAGGCTCCATCCAAAAGCACGTTTCTGTCCTTGAGGGCTCAGGACTCCACTGGGACTTCTTCTCTTTTCCTTTCTTTCCTTTTTTTTTTTTTTTAAGATTTTATTTTTGGGGTACCTGAGTGGCTGAGTCAGTTAAGTGTCTGCCTTCAGCTCGGGTCATGATCCTGGGGTCCTGGGATTGAGCCCCTCATCAGGCTTCTTGCTCAGCGGGGGTCTACTTCTCCATCTCCCTCTGCCCCTGCTCGTGTGCTCTCTCTCACTCACTCTCAAATAAATATATAAAATATTTTAAAAAAAAATTTTTTTAAGTCATCTGTACACCCAACGTAGGGCTCACATCTACAACCCCAAGATAAAGAGTGCTGTGCTCCACCGACTGAGCCAGCTGGGCCCCCCGACCTCCACTGGGGGTTTCAAGCCGGCCGCTCACAACCATGTCCCAGCACATGGGGGACTCAGAGGAGTGACCTCGCTCCTAAAGGGTGACCAGAGCAGACCCTCGAGGGAGAGACCCCTTCAGGAAGACTAAAAGCAGGGTCCCTTCCCAAGTCTCCAGGGACCTGGCAGGACCTCCCACTTGTCCCTGACAAGGGTTGTTTGTGCTCTGGGGTCTCTGGCTAGAAGTTGGGAGGGGTACGCGGTCCTTCCCCACCCGGGAGCTCCCCCGGTGTTCCTCAGCCGCCCATGCTCAGCACGAACCCTGACCTGGCAGCCACGAGCTTCGGGCCTTCCGCATGGTGGCCACTGCCTGCGGACAGCAGCACTTTCCTCCAGGCAGAGGGGTGTCCGTCCTGTCCCCGCAGGTCAGCAGGGAAAGCAGCTCCAGAAGGCTCCCTGGGAATGAACTGCAGAGCCCGACGGACGCCGGGGCATCCTCTGGGGAGACATGTCACCCGCCAAGGGTGAAGTCTGCTTCTTGAGGTGAAAGTTTCCTTCGACGTCACCACAGTCTGTGGCCCTCCGCAGACCACAGTGTGTGAACAGAGCAGCAGCCTGTCCCTGGTTTTAACTTTTTACAGAGGAGGCGGGTGGGGAGAAACAGGTCTACAGAGGCTCCTTCGGGGATGGTAATGAGGAAAAGTGGAGAAGCAGTGTCGGTCTAGTGTCCTGCCTTCGCTGGCCTCCGTTTTTAAAGAGGAGGACGCTGAGGCACAGAGAGCCAAAGTGACTTGCCTAGGGTTGCACAGCTCCCGAGGGGCAGATCTTCAGCTCCTCTGTTTTACCACAACCTGGAGAGATGCTGGCCGCCGTCTTCCCCGCGGCGGTCCTCGGCCACCTGAAGACCAAGGAGAATTAACCCTACTTCCTCCTGTCTGAGAATGTTTTGAACAAAAGCAGCATCATCTCTGAGCGCTCTCCTTCTTTGTAATTTCATAGAAGGCTGCTGCAGCTGAGCTGTGCCCTCCAAAAAGACATGTCACCGGCTGAATCCCCAGTGCCCATGAACCTGATCTTCCCCGGAAGTGGGCCTTGGCAGGTGTGGTCAGATTAAAATGCGGTCACACTGGATCGGGGCCCCTCATCCAGTGACGGGGTCCCTGTAGAAAGAGGGAATGTGGACACGCAGAAGGCCAAGGGACAGCAGGGGCAGAGGCTGGGGGATGTGTCCCACGAGCCACGGCTGGCCCCTCCCTTCGTCCCAGGAGGAGTGCACCCTGCTGACATCTTGGGTTCGAACTCCCGGCCTCCAGGACTGCGAGGGAATAAATTTGTGGTCGTGTGTTACCGTGGCCAAGGCACGCCGGCTTCTGTTGGTTTTTCATTTCCTTTCTTTTTGAGACGGTTGATGGGATTGTGTGTGTGTGTGTGTGTGTGTGTGTGTGTGTGTGTGGACACGCAAGTGTGTCTCGAGGGCTTATCTGCCCCTTCCTGCCACTTGTTTCTGTTGCCACCTCACCCCATGACTGCCTCGGCCCCCGACCTCCTGTCTCCCTCACCCTCTGTGGACGGGGCCACTGCCCGACCTCTCCACGCAGAAGGCAGCGGTGGGAGGGGAGGGCGGCCTGAGGGGACAGGCAGCTGTCACCATTGTGCCTCCTCTAGACGACAGGCCACCCAAGAGGTGTCCTCCCTCCTGTACTTCCCACTTTGTGCAACAGTGAGGTCCCCGTCCTTGTACAGGGATAGACGGAGCTCAGACAAGCTGCGCGGAACCAGATGGTGAAGTGGGAATCAGAGGAAGCGGAGTTAGTGTGTCGGAAAGGGCAGGCCGCTTAGACAGCCCCACCCCCGGGGGAGTGGGGTCCCTCTCGACACAGGCCCTCGCGATGAGATAAATCCTGCGTGTGATGTCTCAGAAACTTCTCTGAGAGCTGAGTAGTAATCAACGCCAGGAAATAAATTCTCCAAAAATAAAGGCAACGCGAGTCTTGGTGGTGGGCGGAGGGCTGTGATGTTTGTGGCGGTAAATGTGTTTAAGATCCTGGGGAGAATTCAGGCTCAGGAGCGCAACAGTAATTTACTAGAGGCTTAATAGTTGGCACGTCCCCAGGCAGCTTTGGGTGGAATTTATTTTGGCACGACGGAGCCCCTCTGGGAGGAAATGGAGACGCGGGCTCAGGGCAGCTGGCTGTGCCCGGGAAAGGGCCTCCGTTGCCTGGAGGTCCCGGGCCGGTCCCCCAGGCTCTCCCAGAGAGTCCCTCCGCCCGCTTTAGCTTCAGTGGCTGCCCCTCAGCACACGGGGCACATGCACGTGGGGGTGAGTGTGCACACACACCTGGGACATGTGCACGTGCGTGTGCAGCGGGTGCCTAGAGAGCCCCTCCAGCTGGGTGGGGGCGGGGGGCACACGCCTCCACCTCCAGGCCCAGCATCGTCCATCGCTGCGCTCTGGTGGGCGGCAGGGCGGCGGCGTGTGAGCGCCAGGAGTGTTCACACTGGCTGCCCTCCCTCGTCCCCACTCCCAGGAAGGCGCACGAGGCGGGCTATGTGTGCTCACCCCTGGCTTCTCTCACTAGGTTTCCCCCTGGGGCTGGCCTCATGGAGCGGATCCAGGCCATCGCCCAGAACGTGTCGGACATCGCTGCGAAGGTGGACCAAATCCTGCGTCACAGCCTGGTCCTGCACAGCAAGGGTGCGGCCCAGGGCACCCCTTTGGCCCCAAGAGGCCAGTGTGCTGGGTGGCCCTGACCGCTCCACCCGGCAGCTCTCCCGCCTCCGGCCTCAGGCTCTGAGCGGGGTGACTTGGGGTTCACCCCACTGGGACTGGTGTGAGAACAGAGGTCCTGGAGTCCCTGGGGGGCCCCCTCCATTTTTCTTGATGTGGGGAGTAGCAGGCTGGGGGCCCCCCAAGAGGGTTACATTTGGGTGGGTGCATGAGGTCTGCCTCTCCAGACACTGGGCCATCCAAGCTGGCTCCTCACTGGTTCCAAAGCCCATATGGAAGGTAGGGGGCCTGTGGCAGAGGGGGAAACCTGGGCATGGGCACCCCTTGGCGGGTGGCCTTTCAGGTGAGGAAACCCAGGGGAGGGAGGGCAGTGTATGCTCCCGGGTTAACCCCTTTCTCCCAGACCTGGGCTCCCCCGAGGCCCCCAGCAAGCTGACCTTCTCCTCCCGCAGTGTCTGAAGGCCGGCGGGACCAGTGTGAGGCACCCAGTGACCCCAAGTTCCCTGACTGCTCAGGGAAGGTGGAGGTGAGGCTCGGGGCTGAGGATGGGGTAGAGGTGACCGGGGGACCCTGCCCCCAGACCAGCTCTGAGATCCTGCTCCTGGCAGTGATGTCTGCCCAGCCCCCAGCCCCCAGCCCCTGACCCTGGTACCCACTGGCGGAAGCCAGCCTTAGGGCCTCTCTGCGTGGGCCGTCTGCGGGGCCCACCAACCCGCACTGCCTAGCACGATCACGTTTCAGGGTTCCCGGTACTTTGTTACAGCAAACAAACTGTTAGTAACACCTCCAGCGGCCTGCATCCCCGCCAGTTCAGACCCAGACTGGATCTCTTGAGTGGTCCTGTCTCCCCATCCCTCCCCATCCTTGCGACCAGCTGGACTGAGAAAGGCCCCTGGCCCCTCCCCCGGGGGCTCACTTCCAGGGGCCAGTGGCTGCGTGAAGTCTGTCCATCTGGGAATGCAGTCCGTGGCATGAAAGCCAGCTCCTCTCCGGTTCCGAACTCCCCAAGAGGGTCGGGCAGCGGCCCTGGGCGCCCCTTCCTCGCTGACATGTGGGGATCCCCATGGGTGGGCTCCTGACCTTGGCCTCAACCGGATCCTGCTCCCAGTGGAGACCAGCCAGGCCCCAAGCTGCTGCATCTGCCACTGTTCGCCCCGGAGCTTTCCCTGAGCGTGTCACGACCTGGCCTTACTCTTCCGGGGCCCTCCTCTTTCTGGGCCTGGGGGACAGTGGTCCTGCTCAGCCTTTCTCGGGGTCCTCGTGGCCAGGACTCAGGGCCGGGTCGTGGGGCTCTGGTCTTTCTCTCCTCTCTGCTCTGGCCTTGCTGCATTCTTAATGTGTGTCCCAGAGGCCCTGTCCTGAGGGACCTTGGGTCCCCAAGGACATGCCCGCAAAGAGCCTGCCAAGGGCATGGGTGGGGCTGTGCCAGCACCCTCGCCTAGGCTGGCCCTCTCCACAGTGGATGCGTGCCCGCTGGACCTCTGACCCCTGCTATGCCTTCTTCGGGGTGGACGGCACCGAGTGCTCCTTCCTCATCTACCTCAGTGAGGTTGAGTGGTTCTGCCCCCCGCTGCCCTGGAGGAACCAGACGGCCGCCCAGATGGCCCCCAAGCCCCTCCCCAAAGTCCAGGTAGGCCTGGGAAGTGGGTAGGCCTGTGAGGAGCTGGTGGACAGGTCAATTGGCCTGCTTGGGTGGGACATCCTTAAGGGACAACAAGAGGAGCTCTTGGACCCTGGTAAAATGAGGCCAGCCAGCCGTGCCTGGTCGGGGGGGCGCGTCCCAGCCTGCCAGCCTTCTGGGGACGCTGCAAAGTTTGGTCAGCTTAAGGGTCAAGCTGGGGCCCTAGAGGCACCCCTAAACAGGCTAGGATAATAATAACAATAGTGTTGCTCCTGGAAGGCTTCCAGATGCTTTATCTGTACTGAAACCTCCCAGCAGTCCCTTAGCGACCACACTGAACAGATGGCAAGTCTGAGGTCTGGGGAGTGCAGTTAGTTTGTTCAAGGCGTCCTGTTTCTCCAGCTCCACTGAAGGGTGGCCCGGCCTCCCTGCTGTCCGAGGGCCAGCTCTGACCACCACCCTTGCTGTCTCTATGTAGCAGCTGAGACGCCTGGGGACTGTCATCGCTGGCCACCCCCAAAGGGCTAGGGACAGAAGGATGACCAGAACTGGGCTGGGACAGACCGGCTTGGCCGGGGGGCTAGTGTTGGTGGGTGAGAGCAGGGCTCCCCGACTGTGGGGGTCTGTGGGCCTTTATAAATGGCAGGAGAAGCTAGAGTAGGCCCCAGCCTCCTGGGAGCGTGCCAGCCCCTGTTCCCAGGGCAGCAGGTGATGGTGGTGGTGTGGCTTTGGGGCTGAGGGCTGGAGAACCCAGGTCTGGGCCCCCCTCCAGGCAGTTTTCCGGAGCAACCTGTCGCACCTCCTGGAGCTGATGGGCAGTGGGAAGGAGTCTCTAATCTTCATGAAGAAACGAACCAAGCGGCTCACGGCCCAGTGGGCACTGGCTGCCCAGCGGCTGGCACGGAAGCTGGGAAGCGTCTGGAGGGACCAGAAGCAGGTACTGCTTCTCTGTGCATTCAGGGAACTTTGCTCAGAGAGCGTAGAGAGTGAGCTCAGGGCCCCAGGCCTTCAAGTGGGCACCAGGTCTGCCCTTGAAAAGGTTTTATTGAGTTTATTTGAGTTTCAGCTGGGGTGAGGGAGGAGGAGTCAGGTTAGATGCATGTGGTGGCCCCTGGCCCTTTTTAGATTTGGGGTAGAATGACAAACCCTCCCATCCACCACGTAGGAGTTCTGCATTCTGTAGACATCTTGTTCTTTTCAGGCAGAAAAGTCATGTCATTTGCCTGGAATATTGGGAATAATAGAGCCTGTTTGGGGGAGGTTTGTAGGTCCGTCCATCCATCCACCCATCCATCTACCCATGTATCCATCCACATTCATCCATCCAATAAATATTTACCTCTCACGTCACCCTGTTTATTTCTTTCAGAGTCCCTATCATTTCATGAAATCATCTCTTGTCTGTGTTTACTCTTGTCTACCTCTTCCATCTGGAACGTAAGCGCCTTGAGGGCGGGATGTCACCATCTTGTTCACTTTGACCCCCAGTGCCCAGTATGGCCACTCTGCCTCTTGGTCCCCCTGCTGGTGCCAGGAAGCGCCTGCCCAGGCACAGCCTGGAGACAGTGACTGCTGCTGGCTGGGTCCCCCTGGGGGTGGCAGGGCAATGCTGCTGTTCCTTCACGCTGACCCTGTGTCCTCCCCAGATCCTTGTTCACATCGGCTTCCTGACGGAGGAGTCTGGTGATGTGTTCAGCCCAAGGGTGCTAAAGGGCGGGCCACTGGGAGAGATGGTGCAGTGGGCAGACATCTTGGCCACTCTCTATGTCCTGGGCCATGGCCTGCGGATCACAGTGTCCCTGAAGGAGCTGCAGAGGTGAGTGCTGGGGGAGGGGAGGAGAGGAAGGGGAACCTGTCCTCCAGGAGCCCCTGTTCCACCTGCAGGTCCCTGGGAGGCTTCCTAGTATACTGGGGATAGTGATAATCCTCTTTCCCGCCTCCTCCTCCATGTTGATGCCTGGTCGTGTTTGGGAGGCGCCAAGCAAGCATGTTTGCACAGCGCTGTTCAAAGGCCCTTTTCTCCATCTTGGGCCAATAGGTGCCCCAGTGTTTGCACTCAGGGGCTGACAAATACTGGTTTGTGGAATCGAGCCATGTCATGTCGAAGGCGTCCTCTCTGTCATCTTGGTGGGCGAGGTATAGCCTCGGGGTTTTCCTTCTGAAATTGGGCTTCTTCCTGGACCAATTCTGGGAGCTGGTAAGACTTGGAGGGTGGTGAGGTGGGCCGTGATGCCTGTCCCATCCCCAAAACTTGCCTTTCCAGAGTCCCCCTGATATTCTTGGGGGTGGGAGATGGTGATGAGAGGGGGAAGGATTGTGTGTGTGTGTGTATGTGTGTGGGTGTGTTTTACATACTCAGGTATCCATAAACAATATATGGTTTTGTTTCATTTTGGTTTGCTTTGAGCTTTGTACAAATGGCACCTGCTGTATGTGATGTTTGAGACATGCTTTCTTCACCCATTCCTACATTTCAGAGTTTCATTCATGTTGTTCATGGAACTCTGTTTTATTCATTTTCACAGCTGTTTGAGATTTCATTATTTGGATGGTCCATCATTATTTTTCAGTTTTTCCTGACTGTGGACATTTCCCCCCTGCTTTTTGTAAGTTATTTTGAGTGATGCTGTGGTAGACACACCTGTACATGAGGTACCTGTGTCACGGTTTCTCTTGGGTAGAGACCGAGTTGCTCTTCAGTATAGACTAAGTTACCCAATTGCTGGGACTGATGGTGTGAGAAAATCCAGCTTTACAAGATAATGCTCATTGTTTGCCGGAGTGATGGCACCAATGTAGCCTCAGCACTTGGAGGTTCCCGGTGGTCATGTTGTCCCCCACATGTGGGGTCATTACACTTCTTAACTGAGGGTGTCAAGTCGTGTCATGATCTCTTGTTATGTTCTGAACTTGCATTTCCCTGACAGCTAGTGAGGCCGAGCAGTCTGCCGTATGCTTGTCCTTCTTTACTCTTGACGAAATGCCCGTTCATGTCCTTTGCCCACCTTTCTGCTGGGTGGTTTGTTTTTCTTGTTGAGTTGTAGGTGTTCTTTATATACAATGGTTATAAACCCCATGCAACTTTTACCTGTTTAAAAATCTTCTCCTAATTTGTGGCTTGTCTTTGTTAGCCACCCCCCCCCCCACCAAGGAATAGAAGGCCGTAATTTAATGTAATCAAAGTTATTGATCTTTTTCTTTTTCTTCATGGTTAGGGGTTTGTGCTTTGTGGGTTTTTTCCCCTCTTTCTCATAGGGCATGACGAAGGAAGTCCCCAGAGTTGTCACCTACAAATTGACTTTTCTTCATCAGTCCATTAATTTACTCTAAGGGTGGATTTCGAGCTAAAATGTGATTCTTGTCCAGAGCCCACCCATCATCTTGAATGGTCTATTGGTTCTAGATGTCTCTGTCTGATCAGCATTTTGTCCTGGCCACAAATGCTAATGCTCTGTAGCATAGGAATGTTGGAGAGAGGAGGATGTTGGTGGGGACAAAGCCATTGACAACTTGGTCTTGGGCAGCTACTCAGCCTCTGCAGTTTTCCCCTGCGAGTTGGAGTCTGCCAGTAACTCGAGTAATGCTTCTCATGACCTCGGTCAGAAGGCAGTACTAGGACCCACTGTATTGCATAGGGAGAGGCCACTAAATGACCTAGTGGTTTGAAGATTTTTATTCCTGTGGCTTACAGTTCACACCACTGGAGTCCTTCTCTTAGGTTGATGCACTTGTCCAGTAGAACTAGGAAAGTTGCAAAGTGTCTTCAGAGAGGAACAGTGTATATAGAAGATCCACTTTGAAGGGGGCGAAGGCGACAGGGACTAACGAGGGGGCTGCACGATTGCGGCAGTGTTGGGAAGCACAATCCCAGGTTGGGGGCAGCAGGTTCTGGGGGGAAGAGGTGATCCCTGGGAATAGCAAGTGCCCCCCGCGGGTCCTGCAAAATCTGGCTGAAGGGCCCCGGAGTGGGAAGGAACTGGACAGGGCGCTGTCCCCGTGTGCTGGTGCTGAACCTGTACACGAGCAGCTCAGCGTTGGGAGAGGGAACCTGCATGTCCCTTGCTCTGGGTCTCACCCTGGTGGCGTTTTGTCATCAGACCAAGCTGTTCACATTGTGCAGGCCACTTCAGAGCTGAGTGTGCCCACTCGTCACCCACCAGCACACACTGCTGCTCACCCCCAGCTCCCTCTGAACAGAGAACGCAGATGCACCAACACTGTGGAGCAGAATGCTGCCAGTGTTTGCAAATGATGAAAAGAAGCATCTTTGCCTGGCCTTGAAGCTTCCTACAGGAAAGTCAAATAGGGTGGGGGTGTGGAGGAGGAAAGAGAAGAGGGACCAGTGTCTGGGAAGTCAAAGAAGTCTTGGGCAGTTTGTGGATGGCACAGTCAGGGGCTGTGGGTAGCCATGAGCCAGACCTGCCTAGGGCAGAGCAGCAAGCAAGGGTCTAGGGGCACATGTCCTCTAGGTCACCAGAGCCCCCAGGATGCAGTGGGAAGACTCCTGAGGGGTGAGGGCTGTCTGGACTCCTCATCCCAGGCTCTGCCATACACAAAGTCCCCCATGAGTGTGGAGCATCCTGTTGGAACTGCTGACACCTTGACCTGCCTCAAGGTTAGCGGAAATAATGCTTATCAAACAGCGTTCAGCTTGATTGCTCCCTTCTGGCCGTGCATCTTCTGGGCCCAGACACGTGAGAACTTCCTTCACTGCTCCCTGAGGGAAGGCCTCTCCCATTCATTTGTGACAGCCCAACAACCACACGGAGAGAACCATCCCTCTGTGAGAGCAGATATTCGGCAAGTCTCCTGAAGAGATGGGAATTTAACAGTTTCCCAGCTTCTCAACCCATGCTGGGGTGCCTCCTGTTTCAGCCTTCACTCCAAGTCCTTCCCTGCCAAGGGCACTTCCTCCTCTGGCCACTTCTGGGGCGCGGCCCCGAGCTTGTGTTTACTGAGTCAGCCATTGCTCATAACGGGGCCAGGGCAGTGAGGATGGGGGTCACTGGACCCACGAGGTCTCAAGGGTGAGGCCCTCGTGGAAAGGACCAAGATCTGAAATCCCTCCTGCTGCTTTTCTTTCACTGCACACGTGGGTACCCCCCACACACACACGTGCACATGCATGCGTGCCCCAGTGTATGACCACACGTGCACGCCCACACACGTGTGCATGGCTCATGCACGCACGCACACACACGTGCATCCCTGTGCACAGGCCCACACCACCACACAAAGGCCAGCACACACTCACACATACTCACAAACCCCACGGAGACTCCCTATCTTCCCGCCAACACGTCACTTCATGCCAGGCTCATGCGGATTTGAAATGCCCAGAAGCAGGGGCTCCAGGGAGACGTTACCTCATCTCTGACTTGCAGGCTCTCACATGGGCAGGCCCCGGGCTGTGTCCGGACGGCTCCATCCTTGGTCCCCGGTGGAGTGTAAGTGTGGGCGAATTGCTCTTGCTCAGACAGGGCAGGGGTGTTGTAAACAGCTCCCACACCTCAGGGAACAGCCTCCTGAAGGGGCTTTCTAAATCTCTTATCAGAAACAATTTCAAGACAACTAAAAAAATAAAAACAAAAGAGAAACCACCTTCCCCAGGAGACATAATACAGTTATGTCTACAAAATGAATAGCATCCACTGTGGTTGGAATACACTTCAGGTGGGGATTCTTACCCCTTCCCCTCACCCCTCCAGCTGCAGAGCAGCCTTAGAAAACATACTGACACTGGGGCCCACCCTTGGTGTCTCTGTTTAACTGGTCTGCCGTGGGGGCCTAAGTATCCAGTTCTCAAAGTTCCCCAGGTGATCTAATGAGCAGTGAAGGTTGACAAGTGGAAAAGTTGAGGCTGTGGCCTTTCTAAGCCTCCCCTGGGATCCCCCACCCCCAGCGTCTGGGCTGCTGTGGGGTCAGGACATTGGCCTTCTTGGCTTGTTCACAAGAGCTGTCATCTGTGTCCCTAGTGCAGGTCCTGAGTACAGGATTGGGGCCTGGGGTTCAGGCTCAGGTCCCTAGAAGACTCGTGGAAAGCGTGTATGGATTCCTCCCAAGCGCACATTTGCATACCTGAAAGCCCCCACGATCCCCTCGGTTGCAGGGGATGGGCTGAGGAGGCACCCCTTGGAAGTGGCCCAGATAGTGGGGCCTCTCACACCTCACCCGGGGCATCAGGTGGGAACCTGCTGACCCGGAATGCACTGTGTCCCATGCCCTTTCTCAGATGTCCTTCTCCCCTGTGACAGATGGAGGCCAGGGCTGTGAGCTCCTCAGGCTCCTTCCGCCGGGACCAGCCCAACGCTGCCTACATGCCGCGGAGATTTCGACACAGTTGTGTGTCAGTTAGCTAGGGCCGCTGCGATGAAGCACCGCACACGGGTCTGACACAGTCTGGTCTCACAGTCCAAGGTCAAGGGGTCAGCAGGGTTGTCCTCCCGAGGCGGTGAGGGAGGGTCTGTCACGGACTCTTCCGTGGCTTCTGGTGGTTTGCTGGTGACCTTTGGCGCTCACTGGCTTGTGCAGCGTCATCCCCATCTCTGCCTTCGTCTTCACATGGCCTCTTCTCCCTGTACGTGTGTAGCCAACTCTCCTCTTATGCGCATGTGGGTCGTAATGGATCAGGTCATTAGACCTTATTTCAATTTGATTGCCTCTTTAACAGCCCCGTCTCCGGATAAAGACACTCCTGAGACACTAGGCGTTAGGACTCTGACATGAATTCTGGGGGGACACAAGGCACCCAACAAAAAGAGGGTGACCTTCTGAGCTTGCAAAGAGGTCACGGGCAGAAATCCCGCTGAGCACACT